GCTGCTCCTCCTGTGACCAGGGAGCTTCTGGAGGAGCCCAAAGGAGCAGGAGAGCTCCCTTGTCATGTTGCTCGCTTTGGGGAAGAGCCTTTTGGCAAAATCTTTGTCCTTCCTGCCCTCCCCTCTGCCCTCCCCTCCCTGTGGGTTACGAGGGGGCTTTCAGGGCCTCCTCCCTGCAGACAACAATCCACCTTTTGTTATTGCAGCCTGGCCAGAGCCCTGCCAGGGCTGCCGGGCTGGGATAAACCTCAGAGCTGGAGATTCCCCTGCTGCCCGTGGGAAATGCCCGGCAGAGCTGGCAGGGGGATGGCAGCCTCCGTGTCTCCTCCTGATGCAAAATCCATTCCTCACCCCATTTGCAACTCCAGCGGGCCACAGGGCCCTGCCTGCCCTGCTGGCCTCTCTGTTTTCCCTCCTGGTGGAAGCAGGTGGATTTCTGGAGCTGAGGACACTGCAGGGACAGGCTGCCAAGCCCTGAGCCCATCCCAGCTCTGGGAACTCACCCCACACCTCCAGCAGGACAAGGAATCTTTTCAAGCCAGCTCAGCAGTTCAAGCAGGAAAAAAAACAAAACAACCTTCATTCCCCACATTTACAAAACACAATATTTGCAAAACAGCCCAGTAAATCTCAACTGTTCTTCACACACAGAGCAAATAACCCCATAAACCCTGCTGAGGAGTCAGAGCAAACACTGCTCTCCTTGCCCGGGGCTGGGCAGAGTCCACCCTGTGCCAGGCAGGGCCAGCAGCCCTGGGAGAGGAGGGGAAGGAAGAGGAGAGGATGCCCTAATGTGCAGAGTGTTTGCAGCCCAGCCCAGCCCAGCCCAGCCCAGCCAGAGCAGCTCCAGCACCAGGAAATGGAGCAGAGAGAGCTCCCTGTCCTTACCTTCCTGATAGATCCAAAGAGAGAAACTGAGAGTTTCCAACCAAGCAGAACCTTTTTATTAATTTATTATTATTATTATTATTATTATTATTATATTTTAAAAATTTTTTTTAAAAACCAAGTGATTGCTGTTTCTCCCACTGGGGACCCCGGGAATATCAATTTCACTCGTTCCTCTCACAGATCAGCCCAGCGCTGCTGCCAGGCTGACACCTCCTGTCTGTTTGCCAAGAGGCAGCAAAACCCCGATCATCCCATCTGCTGCAAGGCTGCCCGTGTGGGTGGCAGCAGGGAAACACCCCTGCAGCATTTCCAAGCTGAGATCAGACTCTGGAAATGCATTTCCAGCATTTCCAAGCTGAGGATCAGACCTGGAAATGCATTTCCAGCATTTCCAGCCCTGAGGATCGGAGCTGGGGCTGCTGCCCTTGCCCAGGGCCTCTGTTTGCTCCTAAAGCCGGCTGGAGCTGGGGGCACATCCTGCATTCCCCAGCCAGGGCTGCTCCTGCCCCAGCCAGAGCAGCCACGGGCTCTGCAGGGCTCACACAGAATCACAGAATAATGAGGTTGGAAGAGACCTCTGAGATCATCAAGTCCAACCCATGCCCCAACACCACAACCAGACTACAGCACCAAGTGCCAAGTCCAGTCTTTTTTTAAACATATCCAGAGATGGTGATTCCACCACCTCCCTGGGAAGACAATTCCAGTATTTTATTATTCTTTCAGTGAAAAATTTTTCCTGATATCCACCGTGTACCTTCCCTGAGGTTGTGTCCTCCTGTTCTGTCAGTGCTGCCCAGTGGAAGAGACCGACCCCACCTGTCTAAACCTCCCTTCAGGAGTTGTGGAGAGCAATGAGGTCACCTCTGAGCCTCCTCTTCTCCAGGCTGAACAACCCCAACTCCCTCAAACATTCCTCACAGGGTTTCTGTTCCCAGCCCCTCACCAGCCTCGTTGCCTCCTCTGGATGTGCTCGAGCATCTCAACGTCCTTCCCAAACTGAGGGGCCAGAACTGGACACAGCACTCAAGATGTGCCCTCACCAGTGCTGAGTACAGGGCTCCTGCTGCTCCTCGGATGCTGCTCTGAGCAGCTCAGCCCTGCCAGCCCCTCTCCAAACATTCTGGGTGCTCTAGAAGCTCAGGTCCCTCTGTAACACACAAATCCCCCACAGAAGTTTCTGTTTCCTGCCCTTCCTCCACTGCGCTTCACACCCATTTGATTGGCTTCGTTTCATGGGCTGAGTTAACCATTGTGCAGTCACCTTTAAGGATAAAAATGAAAATATAAATTGTGGCAAGAACATTTCTCTCCCTCTCAGGGTTTTTCATAGGTGCACAGAGAGAAATGAAAGAGAAAACCATTTCTGGTTTTGCTCCTTGTTTTTCCCATGTGGAATGTGTGTGGAGAATTGTTTCCCTGGGGTGATGCTTGGTTGGATTCTGGTGAGGATTGTTTGAGCCTGGTGGCCAATCCAACCCAACTGGGGCTGGGCTCTCAGAGAGGGGCACGAGTTGTGTGAGGATTAGAGATGGAGTCAGAGAAAGTAGTATGGAGTTTTAGTATCCTCCTTTTATATAATATATTAATGTATTTTAGCATAGTTATAATAAAGAAATCATTAATCCTTCTGAATTGAGTCAGACATCGACATTTCTTCCCATTGGGTTCTCCTGCACTTACAATAATAAATAAACAAAAATAGATTAAAATATTAACTTTACTGCTTCCCAGAGCTCTCTGGCTGTATCCTCTCCCCAAGGTAGGGCTCAGCTCCCACAGAAGATCATCCTCTTCAAGAACCAACAAAACTGAAAATCCCCTGAGATCACTGTAACAAAAATCATCACTTCCAGCAGCCCTGACGAGGCTCTCCTCAGCCCTGGGCAGGTTTTTGTAGCACTCCCATCCTGCTTTTCCCTCCCAGATGGAATTCCCTGGCAGAGGACGTGGGCACAGCCCTGTCCCAGTGACACCCCACTGAGTCACCCCACCACCCAGAGGATGGCAGTGAGCTTTTGCAAGGAGAATTCACACGAAACTGCCCAGGGCAAACAGCACAGGGGGAAGCTGCCCTTGCAAAACCCTCTGCTCCCATTCCCGTTCCTTTTCCCCGTTCCATGTGCTCTCACACTGCTGACCTGCTGCCCTGGTGGGGCTCCCAGAAAGGTTCTGCAGCAGTTGGGAAGAGCAGCTCCCATTGCCAAGGAGCTGCAGCCTTTGAGGAGCTCTCCCTCTCAGCCTGTGCTGGCCCAGGAGAATTTGATTCTGTGAATTCAGCAGACCAGAAAATCTCAATTTTTGGTTTTTTTTTGCCCACGCTTTGCCAAATTCACCTCCAACCAATGCAGCATCACTGGACATTCTTCCAACACATTCTCCTTTTCCCTGGCACCTTTCCTGCTGCTCTCCTCTTTGAACTCCCCTATTCCATCCCTCCTTTTTCTCCCATGTCTATTGAACTTCTATTGGAAGTATTTCACACAACAACTCCCCAGAGCTGGAGCCCTCTGGGTGAGGAGCTCTGGGGCTGAGGAACGGGGAGATGAGGCCAGGGAAGGAAACCCAAACTCCCACTCAGGCAGCACGAGTGACTCAGCAGGGCCAGGGAGAAGGAAGAGGAGGAGGAGGAGGATGGAGTAAGCTTGGCAAAACCACAGCATGAGGGCATCAGAAACACCAGTGAGGCTCATCCCCTTCTCCAGGGCAGGAGCAGAGTGGATATTAGAAAAAAAAATCAGAGAAAAGAGTGGTCAGGCATTGGAATAAGTTGCCAGGTGGGATGTGCAGTGAGGGATGTGCTTTAGAGTCTCTCCATGATTCTGGGATTCTGTAACCTGCCAGGCAGAAAGAGAGGCTATTCCCTTCTTTTTTGGGGGGGGATCCAGCTCATTTGGAGCGCCTGTGTTGCTGATTTGGACTGCTGGAAATAGTGGAACTGTGGCTGGGAGCAGGTTCTGGAGCCATCCCCATCCAGGGACGCTGATTCAGGATCGTCACCTCTAATTAGCGGGTGTCTCACGGGTCGGGTTTCGCTCTGGGCCCAGCTCCTTCTGCTTTCCCAAGGAGGTGGAAGGTGAGCAGGAGGAATCTCACCTGCTTCAGGGACAGGGAAGTGCTGTCCTTGTCCCCAGCACTGATCCCAGTGCTGCCCCAACAGCTCAGGAGGCACTTGTGAAATCAACCTCAAAATCAGCCTCAAAATCAGCCTTGAAATATTTCAAAATGAGCTTCGAAACCAGCCTCGAAATATTCCAAAATCAGCCTTGAAATCAGCTTCAAAATCAGCTTCGAAGTCAGCCTTGGAATATTTCAAAATCAGCCTCAAAATCAGCTTTGAAAGCTTCAAAATCAGCCTTGAAATCAGCCTCAAAATACTTCAAAATCAGCATCAAAATCAGCTTCAAAATCAGCCAAGGGCCTGAGGGGGAAATGGGGAAGAATCCAGGAAGGAGGGGAGAGACAAACTCGAGCTGTTTTCCTCTGTTATTTGAGGCGTTCAGCCAAAATTAGAGGAGAGGAATCACATCAGGGATGTGTCCCCAGCAAGAAAACATCGTGTTCACCAGGGAGGGGCTGTGAAAGGGTCTTAGGAGAGACCAGCCCTCCACAGGGCTCATGGTCCCTCCTCAGCCCTTCATGATCCAGTTCTTTCCAAGCAGGATCAGAAGCTGAATTTGAGCATTTTTTACAAGGATGTTTCCCTGTCTGGGTTTTTCACATTTTTTGCAACTTCAATAAAAACCTGGACAAGAGCTGGGAGCAAGACTGGAGCTCCTCCACATTTCCAGGGTTTCTACAAGAGGTCACAGGACTGCTCACCACCCCAGGGGACAGGGACACGCACAGAGCTCAGCGTCCAGCCCACAGATTCCTCAGGGATGTCCCCACTGCCCATCTGAACCCCCTCAACGGGGGTCACCCCTTGTTTTTCCCCACTTCTCTACGAGGCTGGGCAGGTAGGAGGAAGTGTCTCTATCAGTGAAACCGCCAGGGGCGTGTGGATGAGTGAGCTGGACGGGGAGGAGGAAATATTTGCATTTACCTCATCACACCCCGGGGTATAAAAGGGGCTGGGAAGGTGTGAGGCTTCCTCAGTTCCTAGGGGCAGGTGGGTGAGGAGGAGGAGGAGGCAGCAAAGGGGGTCATGGCAGCTTTCCTGCTCCTCTTGGCACCGCTGCTCCTGCTGGGGACAGCTGCTGGCCAAGCAGACATGGAGATAGAAGAGTGCCTTTGGCTCTGGAACGTGACCGAAGGGAATTTCTCTGTGGTGATAACACCTGAGACCTACCAGGCCAACACAACCTACCTGGGTAAGCCAGCCCTGCCTGCACCTCAGCCTCCCCCTGCACAGAAATCTCTGTCCCTGACTCAGCTGCCCTCCTGCCTCCTCTGCTTCAAATGTGACATTCCTTTTCTACTTCAATTCTTTTTCATTTCAGGCAGCTGAAAAACGGTGCTGTTGTTGCCTCTTTGTTCCTACTTCGTGTTCCCCTCCACAGCTCAATCCCAAATTCTCTTTCGCTCCTCAGGATGATTTTTTTCCCCTTTTATCTTTTTGCCTGAGCTTGCACAGAAGGAGCCGAATGCTCTTGAAGAGGCAGGACTTGGGGAAGTCGTTTTGTGGTTTGGTCCCCACAGTTTGCCTTTCTCAGGGGCTGCACAGACAAAGGGGAAAAGCTGACTTTGGTGCTGACAAACCTTCAGCATCCATGGGAGGAAATGGATTTCACGCTGCAGAAGGATGTGGTAAACTGCAGCCTGACCCTGCCTGCAAATCTCCCTCTGCCCTGAGGCCCTAAAATGCAAAACCTAAAATGCTGAGGAAACAGTGGAGGGGAGACATCCTGATCCCCTCCTGCAGGGGAGGAGGTGGGAACCGCATGGACTCCCTCAGATCACCCCACAGCAGTGCTTGGGGTTTCTTTCATTTGCTCACTGCTGTTATTTCAATGTTTTTGAGCAAAGAATTGAGGTTTGATGGCAGCTCCTGCCTCACGTCAGCTCCTGGAGGTTCAGATGGTTTGGACAGTTTGGTTTGGAGCAGGGGTGCACCCCGAGGGGTGCTGAGGGCTGAGAGGGACGTGGTGGATGCTCACAGGGACCTGGCAGCTCCTCTGTGCCCCGTGGTGTGGGTCTCAGATTCAGTCAAAGAAAGAAACTGAGAGTTTCTAGCCAGGCAAAAAGCCTGAGAAAGAGCTGAGAAAGAATATAAATAATTCTTTATCTCTCTTGTTTTTCACATTATTTATAATTAAATTCTATCACTGCGCGTCAAGCACTTTTACACCAATGCTGTAACTTATTTTCATTTCAAAACAAATAGATTCAGCCTTTGCAAAACTCTATATAAAAAACAATATATTTTAAATAAATCAGAGTTTTACTCTAAGCAGCCTTCTAAGTCAAGTCTATTCATTCCTGTCCTGCCTGGACAGCAACACTGTGGTCCTGCTGCTGCTGGGGGGAGAAGCCCCGAGCGCCGGGGCTGGGGCAGGGAAGGTGAGGCACACCCAGCCGGGCTCAGGGCTGCCCACAGGTTCCTTCTCCAGCCCTTTCCCCCTGCACTGGGCTCGGCTGGGGCTGAGCCCGGGCTCCCAGCAGCTCAGGGGCGGAAAAACGGGGTTTTTTGGGGTAAAACACCCTCTGTGTAGGTGCAGCTGTCAACAGCAGCGCCAGAGGTGGGAGCAAACCCTGAGGGCCCGGGGTCCTGGCAGGGCAGGAATGTCACTCTGGCAGGAATCTCATTTTGGCAGGAATGCCGTTTTGGCAGGAATCTCATTTTGGCAGGAATGTCATTTTGGCAGGAATATCATTTTGGCAGGAATGTCATTTGGGTAGAAATGCTGTTTTGGCAGGAATCTCATTTTGGCAGGAATCTCGTTTTGGCAGGAATCTTATTTTGGCAGGAATCTCATTTTGGCAGAAATGCTGTTTTAGCAGAAATCTCATTTTGGCAGAAATCTCATTTTGGCAGAAATCTCATTTTGGCAGAAATCTCATTTCACAGGAATGCAATTTTGCCAGGAATCTCAATTTGGCAGGAATCTCATTTTGCCAGGAATCTCATTCTGGCAGGAATCTCATTTTGCCAGGAATCTCATTTTGGCAGGAATCTCATTTTGTCCCCCTTGCTCTCTCCCAGTGACGATAAGGGACGACAGGAACCACAGCAGCAGCTCGGGGCCGTTCCTGCTGCAGGCCCTGTCCCCCCAGAACACCTCGGTGGGGGAGTGGACGGACACAGACACCGGCAACTGCAGCTCTGTGCTCACAGCCGTGTTAAACACCACCGAGAGCAGAGCCCACTGGACATCCCCCAACAGCAACCTCTCCTCTGTGCACATCAGGTGAGATTTCAGATTTGAGATTTGCTGCCACAGTCACCCCCTCCTCCAGATCAGGGGCTGAGCAAATCCTCCAGAGCCCTCTGGGTTTTCACTCTCCTTTCCCTCTTGCCCCGATTTTTTAAAGTGTTAAGTTTGCTTTTATAGTTCTTTTGAAAGTTTTAAAGCTCTCATAAAACTTCTTTAGCCTTCTGATAATGCTTACATGTCTCTACTGGAGTTCTCAGGCACTACTGATGCAAAAAATGATTGTTTTACATGCTCCTTTGGGGAAGGAGAGAATTAACAGACTGTTGGTTTGACCAGTGTGGTTGGAGAGGTGGTCATTCCATCCTCCAATCCACAGTCACTTTTAGAACTCTATAAATATCAGATGTTCAATAAAACTCTCTCTTTTTCTCCTTTGGGCTTACCAAGCTTCTGTGTACTCATTTCATGTCCAACAGTGACATTTCCCTTTTCCTTCACCTGCTGCCAAAAGCCACCTCGGGGGTGCAGTGGGAGTTTGGAGATGCTCCCAGCAGCAGAAAAGCAGATTAACTCCATGGAAATGGCCCAGCTGAACACTTCCATTAGCCCGTGGGAGATGTTTGTCTAAGGGAAGCAGAACCTTCAGCCTTATCTTCAGAGAGGAAGGACAGCCCAGCTCCTGCCAGGACTGCTTCCAATTACAGGCAGCAGATGGTTCCCAGTGAATTGCCACCCATCCCCAGCCCAGCCCAGCAGCAGCCAAATGTGGTGGGGAAACAATTTCAGATGCTGAAAACACCCCCCAAAAAAAGCTCAGTGTGGCTGGAGGGCAGCACAAGGGAGCTCAGGATGGCTCCAAAATTCCTGTCTCTTCATCTGCTTTCAATGTCCCCTTTCCATCCCCACTGGGACACTCAGCTTCTCTCCTTTGAAGTTGTTTTCCTCTCTCTTCCCTCCTCCCACAGGGTCTATCTCATCCTCCCTGATAACATCACCGAGCTCAAGACTGGGATGCTGAGCAGAGGTAAATAATCTTCATTTCCAGCACCTGGGGACGGACACGCCAAGCAGGGCTTCACTCGTGCTCTGGGCTTTGGGGAGAGGGCAAAGAGGGATTCAGGGAGCCTGGAGCTGAAGGACATCCCACATCTCCAGCAGTCAGGCAAAGACAGAGGCTTTCCAGCTTAGAACTCCAACTTAAAGCCTTTCCAAGCTCCCCTTTTGCTTTAAGGGATGTGGAACAGCTCCAAAGCAGAGGCCAGGCTTATTTATTTCTGCAGGGACTGGAGGGGAATGGATTGGGAGCTGTGGCTTTGCTCTCAGGAGTGTTTCTGCTCCTCCAGCCCAGAGGATGATGCTGCTGCTCTGATGCACTCAGCCATCCCCTCCTCCACAGAAGCTTTGACCCCTCATTCCTGTGAAATCAGAATTGCAGCGTCCTGGAGAAGCTCTCAGCTGGTCCTTTGGATTTGTAATCATTTTTTTTTTTTATTTATTTTTCCATTTCAGGGGCAGAAACCACCCCGGTGCCCCTCAGCAGCACCTCAGCCCCCAGCAGCTCCTCATCCCCCAACACCAGCTCAGCCCCCAACATCACCTCAACACCCAACACCACCTCCAGCCCCAGCAGCACTCCCAGCTCGGTGAGCAGGGCTCAGGGCAGCTCCTGGCTCCTGGCTGCCCTGCTGCTGCTGCTCACGGCCAGCCTGCTCTCCTAGAGGGCACCCAGCCCCTTCTCCTGCTGAGGAACCTGGGGCTCAGCTGATTTACTCAGGGAATGGGGTGCCTTGGGCTGATAAATGCACTCCCACAGTAAATTATCATGGTTTGTGTGGCCACCGAGCTGATCCTCCCCTGCTGCCCTCGCCCACAGCCTCAGCAAAAGGAAATATTCCTCATCAGAAGGAAATACTCCTGAGCAGAAGGAAATATTCCCTATTAGAAGGAAATATTCCCCAGCAAAAGGAAATATTCTCTATCAGAAGGAAATATTCCTCAGCAAAAGGAATTATTCCCCAGCAGAAGGAAATATTCCTCAGGAAAAGGAAATATTCCCCAGCAAAAAGAAATACCCTCAGCAAAAAGAAATATTCCCCAGTAAAAGGAAATTTTCCCCAGCAAAAGGAAATATTCACCAGCAAAAGGAAATGTTCCTCAGCAAAAGGAAATATTCCCCAGCAGAAGAAAATATTCCCCAGCAGAAGGAAATATTCCTGAGCAGAAGGAAATATTCCCCAGCAGAAGGAAATATACCTCAGAAAAAAGGAAATATTCCCAGCAGAGACCCCTCTGCCCTGGCTTCCCAGACACAAAACTGGGTGAGCAGAGCCCCTGAAGCTCCCTGATTTCCTCATCGCCTGCGGTTCTGTGAAGCACCAAGAGAGGAGAATTCTTCCTCCTCCTCCTCCTCCTCCTCTTGGGGCAGAGGAGCTGCTGAGAAGCTCCAGGCAGGCTCTGAGTCTGCATCTTCATCCCCACATCGTTATTTGGTCCAAAATCCCCAAAATATTGTTCTTAATTCAGCTGATGACAAAGTTTCTCTTTGTTTTCCCTCTATATTTTTTTTTTTTTCATGGAAAGGCAAGGTGGGCATTTTGTGTTCTTCCTTCTTTTTTTATTATTTTTTTAATCAACAGCTGATTTTGCTGTAGGGCAAGATTATTGTGTGGGCCAATAGATGTCTTGATTTTATTGTTGTTTGTATTTTTATATGGGCAAAACGTTTATTTAGACATTTTCCAACTTGTGGGAAGCAAATTTTTTTTTTTCCTTAAGCCGATCTAAATAAAATAAGGAATTAAAATTGGTTCTTGCACCTGCCATTATTTCTGGCTTCGTTGTGATGTTGGTGAGGGGAAGTTTGAAATGATTCTGAAATTTAACACAGGAGCTGAGCACCACAAGAAAAAATCATGCCTGCTCATTTATATTTCTTAGGAATTCAGAAAAAAAAATCATGTGTGCCCATTTATATTTCTTAGGAATTCAGAAAAAAAATTTCCCTGCCCATTTATATTTCTCAGGAATTCAGAAAGAAATTGTGCATGCCCATTTATATTTCTCAGGCACTCAGACATCATGTCTAAGAGGGAAAATTTGTTTAAAATTCCATTAGAATTGTCCAAAATATTACCCCTAAAAGTTGGCAGTTGTGATTAAACAGCTGCTAAGGCCGGTTTGGTTTTCAGGTTGAGCTTTTACTCAATTCTTGTTTGTTCAAATGGTACAAAATCCATGGTTTGCCTCAAAAAATAAAAGTAATTCTCCCTCCCGTGCCCTCAGTGTAAATTCCACTTGTTTCATCCTAATTTCCACTTCTTTCCCTGTTTCCTGATGCGTTGTGGAGGGTTTGGGCTGTAAATCCAGAATTCCCCAGCACCGTTTCACAGGTGAAATTTTGACCCTGCAGTGCTGCATTCATGGAATGTTCTCGCAGAATTTCGGAGAAATGACTTTTTTAGTACCCAGCCATTAAAACTGGCATCTGTTTAGCAGGCAGGGTAATTAGCAGAGTTAGGGACACGCCTTATCAGTGCACAACACACAATAAAATCCTAATTAGTGCTGGAAATTACTGCTCAACTCCAATCTCTTTGTTGATCCATCTATCTCCTAAGATTACAGCCTTTAATAAATATGAAATTGCATTTAAATATCCCTGTGGCACCTCCCATTCCCAGATCAGCCCCACGTGGCTCCTGCTCCATGTCCCATCCATGAGCCTCACCAATGGCATTTGCATTCATTTTTACTCTTTTCAGCAGCAAAAATGAACATTTCCTTTTACACCCTGTCTGTTTTCTCTAGAAGATCAGAGGAAAAAAAAAATTTTAAAGTGCTAAAAATTAAATTCACAAAAAATAAAAGTTAAAAACTTAAATTTCACAAAAACAACCAGGCAGAACTCTGCCTACAGAGGCAGAGAAGGGCTCTAAGGATGTCCCAGATGAGCTCTGAGGTCAAACTCCTCACCCACATCTATGAAACCCTCAGCTCACCATGGCAGAAAGCTGTTCCTGGCAGTGCCAGGCTCTTAAAACATTGATTAATCATGAACACAGCAATTACAGCTGCATAAAGCCCTGTAAAAAAATTCCCCCATCCTTCCAGTGACTTCCTGCAATCCCTGAAGTTTTATTTGCTGTGCCATCTCACCTCAAACAAGTCAGCAGAACAGCCCCAACCTTCTGGATTAGAGACGATTTCTCACTGAACCATCTTCCTGTGGGCATCACAAGAGGAATTCTGGGGACAACATGACATTAAATTCTTTTCCACACTCACTGAATTTCCAGGCACATTTACAGGGACAGATTTGTTCAATCCTTTGCCACACTCACTGAATTTCTAAGCATATTTACAGGGACAGATTTGTTCAATCCTTTGCCACATTCATTGAATTTCCAGGTACATTTACAGGAACAGAGTTTTTCAATCCTTTGCCACATTCACTGAATTTCCAGGTACATTTAGGAGCAAAAATTGAGTTTTCCACACCAGTGGACAAACAATTCCAGGAGAAAAGCCACAAAATGTCCCTGAACGCCCAGCCCCAATTGTTCTCCTCGTTTTTCAGACTTCCATGCTCTGTTTCCACTTGGCACAGGGTAATTAATTAGTGCCAATTAGCGCCAGGCACAAGCAAACACCCTAATGAGTTTTACCAGGGTGGGAATTGCTGGGTGGGAAGTGTGTCAGAGGGTCCCTGGGCTGCCTCTGCTCTGGGGCTCTGGAAAATGAGGAAATTTAGGAATTCTGGGGCAGAGACCTCCTTTTCTCAGCGACCTCCCCCAATTTTTGCTCTTTTTTTCCCTCATTCATTTCCCTCTCATGGCACTGCCCAAAAGGAGCAGAGGTCTTTTGACCCCCCTGCAGCACTCCCTGATTTCCAGGCACTGCCCTCCCAAAAAAAACCACCTTAAGGAGGGAAATCCCAATGGGGAACAGGGATGTGCAGCTGCATCTCTGAGCTCAGAGGCAGCTCCTCATCCCTTGAAATGTGGGTTATTTATTAACTCCTTCATTGTTTGGGCTACAATGGGCTGTAAAAAACCAGCCCGAGGAGTGGCCCTGAGCCTGAGCAGCAGAACTTGGTGGATTTCCTCTCTCTGCTGCTCCTTTTGGGCTCTTACATCTCCCCAGGTGTCACAGGAACACCATCAGTTCCACTGCCAGAGCTGCACCCTCGGTCCTCCTTTGGCCACTGTGCTTCAAACAGAGGGAAAAAATAAGATTTTTCCTCCTCCAGTGAGGCAGAATGAGAAAAACCTCCCTAAACTAAAAATTAAAATTAAAATAAATCAAAATAAAAAGGAAAGCTGCTGTTTGGCAGATTTCCTGGGCAGCCTCAACCTTTGCTTTTGGTTGATAGAAGCAGATGGTGCCACAGGTATTAAAGTGCACAGGTATTAAAGTGCCAGTCCCTGCCCTGGCATTAGTTCAGAAAAGAGCAGTTTTATGAAAATCACAGGAACACAAATACCACAGAAACCCCTGCACTGTTCCCCACAGTCACCTCACAGCAGCACGTTCAAATAAATGATTTATTGCGTCCAGCTCTTCCAGAAAACCTGATTTGATTTTAGCACCTGACAGGAAGGCAGAGCTGGTTCTTTCAGTCCCACTGAACATAACTGGGCACTTTTCATGCCATTTCCTGTCATTATTCTCCTGCCATTCACATTTCCACACACCAAAGCTGGAAGTGCTGTCCCTCCAGCCTCAGCTGTGACCTCTCAGGGCTGTCCTGGCCCCATGTCACCTCTCCTTCCAAGCATTTCATCACTCAGTAACTCAGGCAGGGCTTAATGTTTAATTCTGGGAGTTCATTCCCTCCCTGTAAAACCCTCCCTCCCTCAGCCGGGAATTGGGGATCCCACAGAGAATTCCCGGCAGAGCTGAGCAGGGTGGGGACAGCACCCACGGCAATCCCGGTCACAGCTCAGCCCTGATGTTCCCATCCCCTTTCACCCAAACCCAGCACTGATTTATCCCCATTTCCCCAGAGCTGCAGTCATTCCAACCCAAGAGATCAGGAAAAGTGACACAGATCAATCTCCAGGTGCACACAGCAATAAATAAATAAATCCAAACACTCCGGCTGCCGTGGGGCTGCAGAAATCCAGAGGGGTCAGCGTGGGTTTCAGATTTAGTCAGAGGGAAAACAGAGTTTCTAGCCAGGCAAAAGCCTGGGAAAGAGCTGGAGAAGAATGTAAATAATTCTTTATCTCTCTTGTTGTTCACATTGTTTATAGTTAAGTTCTATCACTGTGCATCAAGCACTCTGCACCAATGCTTTGGATTGTTTTCACTTCAGGACCCATGGAGTTGGTCCTCATGAAGTTCTGTATAAAAGAGCAGTGTTGTTGGAATTTGAGGTATTGATGATTCTGAGATTGTAAAAAGTCTTTGTCTTTTTGCTCTGTTGCCAAAGCAGAAGCCATAATTTGTCTGTGCTGGTTTCAAGGTTGTTTATTCTGTTTATCTCTACCATGTTCTGCTGCCCTGCCGCAGCTCTGTCCTGCAGGGCAGCGTGTGGGGCTCTGCCCTCAGTGGGATGGTACAAACATTAAATACCACAAACTACCTGTGCTGGATTTACAATAACGTGCCAATATCTGTCACCTACGTTGGACAGTGTGTCCCCAGCCTGAACCAACAGAAAAATGCCAACACCACAGTGACACATGGAGGGCATGAAGAAGGAGAAAAAGGACAAGACACACCCAATTTCCTCCATCTTGTCCCCTTTGGACCCCTCATCTAGAATCCTAAAATTTTACTTTTGTACCCGTGCCACACTTAATTATTACTGATATCAAACACTCAGAGCTGGTAATTCATCCTGTAAGATTGAAAACTCTTTTCCATGGGCAGAGATCACAGCCAGTGTCTCTGGGGGCTCTGTCCAGGGGGGTTCCTGACCCTGCCAGGGCAGCCAGAGGGAAGCCCTGGACTCCCACACGGTGTATTTTGAATAAATCGGAGTTTTTTGTCCTGCCTCTACAGCAACAGCTCAGGGCTGAGTTTTCTCCCTCCCCAGGGCTCTGCCACCGCTGGGGCTGTGACATTCCCACTGCAGTTTCCTCAGTTTTCCATTCTCACCAACATGCTGCTCCCTTTGGCTCTTCAGTTTAGATCAGAAATGGTTTTTTTTGTTGCCCACTACACCAGTTCCACACACAGAGAAATATTTGCTGGCCACAGGGAGAAACGTGTCTGCAACACAGGAAATAAACTTATAAGAAAAAAAAGATAATGTAGCTCACATTACCAAATACCATAAATTAATTCAATATTTAATCAGAGAGAAATCAAAGCCTTTTGTGATTTTACCAGGCCACCTCCTCTCCCCAGAGCTGCTTTATTTACCACGGCACAATTCTAAATTTCACATCAGCTGGCAAAACAGGAAGGTCTTGAGGAAAAACAGAATTCTGAGAACCCAGAAGGGGTCTGAGGTTCCTTGTGAAACATCAGCACTTGTCCTGATGGAACACAGAACCCGGGGCTGGCTGCAGGAAATTCTGAGCAGGAATCCACGGAGCTGATTTTGGAGCATTTCTCCTGAGCAGCTGAGCTGAGGCTGATCTCACTTGACAATTGTTTCTTCTCCCTTGTAAACGACCACGTTCTGCTCTGTCTCCTGCACTTCCACTTTGTAAAGGATTCCCTGGGGCAGGAGCTTCTGGAGGCTGTCCCAGATGAACACAGCAATGTTCTCCGTGGTGCTGAGGGGGAACAGAGCAAGGTCAGAGCTGGCTGAAATGGCAAAATGGCACCAAATTTACAGCCAGGATGGGCTGGGGGGATGCTGAAAGGGCAAAATGGCACAAAATTTGCAGCCAGGATGGGCTGGGGGGACACAGGGGCAGCTGAAATGACACCAAGGTTTGCAGCCAGGATGGGCTGGGGGATGCGTAAATGGCAAAATGACACCAAATTTGCAGGCAGGATGGGCTGGGGGATGCTGAGGGGCACCTCAGTTAAGGGGGATTGTTGGGGGGCACTGCCAGCGAATGTGGGTGGGATGGGCAGGTCCTGCCTGCCCAGGCTGATGTGATGAGGGGCAGCAGGGCTGGGCACAGCTGTGGGCACACACAGGTAAAGGCTGCTGCTCAGGCCCTGGAGATGCTCCAGCCCCTCCAGGAGGCCCCTCACCCACCTCACCACCTCAGAGAAGTAGGGCACATCCTTGTCCAGGTTTTTGTGGTCCAGCGGCTCCATGATTGCTTCCTGCAGAGAGAGGACGGTGACAACCCTGTCCCTGCCTGCCTGAGGTTCAGGTAACCACACACAGCCAGGCAGCAGGAAGGGAAAAAAGGGAAAGAGCCCCAAATCCTGCTGTGAAATTCCCAGCTGGAGACGTGGCACTGCCTCACACAACAGAGCCAAGGCATTTAAGTCTTCAATTATTCCCTAATTTCTTTTTTATGTCCTGCCATCAGCAGCTCACCACGTCTCCATGCTGGTACCACACAAGCTCTGATCAATTCTCCAGGGGACTGGAAGGAAAACTGGGCTGTTTTTACCTGCATGAGCTCCTTCAGCTCTGTCAGGTTCATCACCATCCCCGAGACTGGGTCAATCTGCAGGGAAGCACAGGGGAGATTGGTGGCAACACAAACCAGACAGGAATATCTGTGCTCAGCCCATCTGAGCCACAAGGAGAAACTCTTCCCACTGTCACAGGGCTCCAACTCCACTCCTGTGATGCTCCCAAGGGCTTGATACAGCCTGGAAACAATTCCAGAGGTTCCACTCCCCCCTAAAAGCTGACAGCAGGCAGCAACAACTCACTGGAAGAGTCTTCAAGCACGAAAACAGCATTAAATAGCAAATCCTTGTCATGAACAGGACCACAGAAAACCTTCCTCTCTAGTGATGTGCACAGAGTTTCCAAAATACTCTGGGAAATCCAGGCATGGAGCCAGAACTGTGGGGATTCTGCCACACTGAGGAACAGAAAAAGGATGCTGGCTGCACTCACCTCTCCACGCACGGTCACCACAACTGAAAACAAGAAAAGTTCAGGTCACTGTGATGCCCATGAACCCAAAACCAAATCTGCTACAGCCCCTTCCCTGCCCACCCACAGGGCACACTCAGGAGTGGGGCTGCTTTTATAAAATCAGGGGATGATCCATAAAAAAGTGGCTCAGAGGCACGAAAATCCCTCCCCAATGTCTGATGCCCCAGGCAGGCTGGAGATAAGCCTGTCTTCCCTGACAAAGCAGCTCCTGAGCAGAGGTTTCAGGGTGCCACCAACACAGGGAGCCACTCCAGGAACTGGAGAGATCTAATTCTGTGTGCTCGGGGTGTGCAAATGGGAGAACTTGTGAAAAAACCCACTCAAATCATGTTTACAGGCTGTTTAATTTGCATGGCTTTTGCTTAGAAAAATCTCCATTCCAATCACAATGATTCTGCAGAGTGTAAACAAGCAGATTTGATTCAAGAAGTGGCATTTGAAGATAAATATTTATTATCTATTCAGCTGAAAAATGACAAACCCGTGCTATGGTTCAACCCCCTGCTGCTGAAATTTCCTCTTAATTCTTGATAAAAACACAAACCCAGCTGCTGAGATCGAGTGGCCCAGCCCTCCTGGGGGTTACCCCCACCCTGAGAGCTGCATCACTCCACTAGCAAGGATGGAAATCACCTTCCTACCTTTGTAGTTGTGTCCGTGGCCATTTGGATTGTTGCACTTCCCAAAGAGCTTCAGGTTCTCCTCATCGCTCAGGGATTTGCTGTGGGAAAAGCAGGCATGGATCTGTTCAGATCCTCAATTCTCCATCTCTTCCCTCTCCCACATTTAACCCAGCAGCTCAGGAGGCACAAACACAGACAGAAAAGTGTCTGCTCCATGAAAAGATGTTGACAGCAGCGAATCTTTCCTTGCTCTGGTTTTGTGTCTGCCTCACAGCATCTGCCTGACACCAAAATCACTCAGGCCCGGAGCAAGCTGCACATTTGGGTTTGTTATTAATTAATAAAGCTTAGGGAGCCCCTCCAAGAAGTACAAAGGAATTCCCTGGGAATCATCCCTTTGAAGCAATCCAGGGCCCTGCTCTGAGTGTTTCAGGTCAAGGCACATTTTGGGAACATCACAGAATCCCAGGATCGCTGAGGTTGGAAAAGAACGGTGAGATCATGGAATCCAACCAGACTCAGAGCACCGAGTGCCACATCCAGGAGTTCCTTGGGCACCTCCAGGGATGGGGACTCCCTGGGCAGCCCCTTCCACAGCCTGACCATCCTTTCTATGGAGAAATTCCTCCTGATGTCCCACCTGAACCTCCCTGGGTAGCCCCTTCCACAGCCTGACCATCCTTTCCATGGAGAAATTCCTCCTGATCTCCAGCCTAAACCTCCCTGGGCAGCCTCTTCCAAAGCCTGACCATCCTTTCCATGGAGAAATTCCTCCTGATCTCCAGCCTAAACCTGCTCTGGCACAGCTCGAGGCTGTTTCCCCTTGTTCTATCGCAGCCTGAGAGAAGAGGCCGAGCCCAAAACCTGCTTTGAGGCAGTTTCAGGTGAGGGAATAGATCAGTTTTGGGGGAAAGCAGCAGATCGGTGTTTATTTCCAAAGCGAAAGCGCCGCTGGCTGGGTCGGAGCACGGAACTGCAGCGGGCGCTGCCGGATGCTGCGGGAAGGGCCGAGCCGGGGACAAACCGGGAAGGGCAGCGCGGGCTCGGAGCCTCCCCCCGGCTCTGCGGGGCTCTCTCCCACCTGTGCGGGGCTCTCTCTCACCTGTGCAGGCGGTGGCAGGCGCTGAAGGTGACCGAGCGCGACAGCCGCGCCAGGCGGGCGGAGCGCGGCGACATCGCGGGGCCGGAGCGGGGCCGGAGCGGGGCCGGAGCGGGGCGGCTCCAGCCCGGCCCCGGGGCGGCTCCAGCCCGGCCCCATCCCGGCCCCGGGGCGGCTCCAGCCCGGCCCCATCCCGGCCCCGGGGCGGCTCCAGCCCGCGGGATCCGCCCGCCGAGAGCCGGGGATGCTCCAGTCCCTCCGTGCCGGTGGCAGCCCCGGGGATGCTCCAATCCTCCCCGTGTTCGGTCCCAGGGATGTTTCAATCCCCCCAGGATGCTCCAATCCCCCTGTGTTCGGTCCCGGGGATGCTCCAATCCCCACCGTGTTCAGTCCCGGGGATGTTCCAATCCCCCCCGTGTTCAGCCCCCGGGATGCTTCAATACCGCGGCGCCGATATCGGATCCGGGGATGCTCCGGTCCCTCGGTGCCGGTGCTGGATGCGGGATGCTCCAATCCCCCCGTGTTCGGCCCCGGGATGCTCCAATCCCCCCGTGTTCAGCCCCGGGGATGCTCCAATCCCCCCGTGTTCAGCCCCGGGATGCTCCATTCCCCCCGTGTTCAGCCCTGGGGATGCTCCATTCTCTCAGGATGCTCCAATCCCCCCGTGTTCGGTCCCAGGGATGCTCCAATCCCCCCGTGTTCGGCCCCGGGGATGCTCCAATCTCCCCGGGATGCTCCAATCCCCCCGTGTTCGGCCCCGGGGATGTTTCAATCCCCCCGGGATGCTCCAATCCCCCCGTGTTCAGCCCGGGAAGCTCCAATCCCCCCGTGTTCAGCCCGGGAAGCTCCAATCCCCCCGTGTTCGGCCCCGGGATGCTCCAATCCCCCTGTGTCGCTGTTCGGGAGGGGAGCACAGAGCCCAGGCGGGGCTGCGTGCTGGGGAAAAGCAGAGCTTTAAACACGAAAAATTTGGGGACACAGCACGGCAGCCTGCAATCCGCACAGGGTGGCACCTCAGCCTCTCACCCCTTTTCGTTTCCCACCTCAACGAGAAAAATAAAAAAATTTAAAAAGAGAACCGACAGGTCAGAGGCGGCAGGGCAGGGCTGGGACGGCAGGAACGGAGCTGTTTGCCATCTAGTGGCTCCGAGCAGCTCGGCTGAGCCTCCTCTGCCTCTCCCAGAGCAGCAGCCCCCAGGTAAAATCCTTTTTCTTTTCCCAAGACTTGTAAGGAAGGTGAAGGAAGCTCAGAGGAGGAAAAGCCCCAAGGGTGAAAGGGCTCCTTTGTTACTCAAGGAAATGATTCAAATAATTCTTCTACAACTGGAAGTGTTCACTGCTCACCCACCCAGCTACACCCCAGCAGCTGGAGAAGCCTGGATGGCACAGGAGGCTCCTGGAGTTTGTTCTGCTCTGTTTAACCCCAGAGGGACACCAAGGCCACAGAGGAGCTCTCCGTGTTCCCTGCTGGTGTTTCCTACTGGTTGAACTGGGAGGAAGGCAGGAACTGTCAGCCAGCAGAGCTGTGCCCTGCTCTGGAGATGTGTCCCCCACATCTACAAGACTCTGTGAGGGCAGGGAGAGAAAGGCAAAACTTCCCAAGGTTTTATTTGAGGGCACTGCTATTGTACAGAAAAAAGCACAAGCACAGCTTCTGTGAGTGTCTGCATCTATCCCCTGGAGTCCTCTGAAGGAACCTTGGTGCAAGGGAGGGGGATTTACTCCCCTTCACTGGGCCCACCTGTCACCTGATGGGTTTTACTCCTCTCTTCTGCTTTACATATTTCAGCCAAAGTCACAGGCCTGAGTATTGATGTTCTCTTCCCCTCAGAGCACCAAAGGAAAGGGTTGATCACCTCAGTTTCCATTTTCTCCCTTGCAAACCTCACCCTGGCATCCTTTGTGAACTGCTGCTATAGCTGGTCTAGCAAGATAGTAAAAAAAATGTAGATAAAGCGGTGGGCTGTGGGAGCAAAGGGGCTTCTGCCTTCCTTGGCTGTGTTTTGGTAGGAATACAGGAGGTTGTGGTGGGGAAAAAGCAGCTCCTGCATCCCAGACGTGATGGAAAGGCAGGAGGTGAAAGCAGCAGGGGTTCTTTCTGAGGCTGGCTCAGCCCTGAGTCCCAGGAGGTGCCCAGGAGCTCCTCAGTGGGCAGCGAAGATGCCGTGGAACCCGTAAGGCACTGGCACCCCAACTTCTGCTCGCCCCAGCTCCCGGAAGGTCTCTGCATCCAGGACGAGCAGGAAAGCACTTTGGTTCTGCAGGAGGAGCAGAAAGGCAGAGTGAGTGTCCAGGCTGAGCTTCTCTCCCCTGTTTGCACACAAAGACACGAAGCAGGCCCTGGAGAGCAGCCCTGCAGGGCAGCAGAGCTCACACTCACAGGTCCCACTCAGGACACGCTGACATTCAGGGGACAGCTCCCCCTGCACTGTCTGGCCTTGGCCATGGCAGAGCCAGACACTCTGGGGAACCAGAACTACCTGCCAGGGGGCCTCCAGCTCGGCTTTGAGGTTTCAAAAGTGAATTAATGCTGTGTGACTTTGATAAACTGCTGCCAGCAAGTTACCTCAGCGGGGGAGACCACCACAGACAAGATGACTCCGCTGTCCTCTGCCGTGGCGTTAGGCACTGGCACAAACACGGGCTCTGATGGGTAGGACCCCTCCTCCTGCCAAATCTAGCAAGCACAGCAACATATGGATCAGTTCCAGGGACATATGGATGAGTTCCATTTCATTAATACTTGTCTACTGCAGTGAGCAGAGTTACAAGTGCTCCCCACAAAGGCACCTGGAAATACTCTGTGCTCCAAGAAACTTAAGAGTTCAACTTTTGATTAACTTTTTTTCATCCCAGGAGTGTCATGGTGCCATGTTCTCCTGTTTGCTGATTGTGCCACGTTCATAAGGTGCCAGGTGAGAGATGAAATTGGGAACCTCATCCCAGACCCATCTGGGCAAAGCCCTAAAACCCCCAGTAAATGCCACACCTTCACATCCAGTTCAGGGGAAGGACTTGATGAGCTGATTTCAGCTCACCTTGAAATTCTTGGTCTCCACATCCACCTTGATCAAGGAATCTCCAACCAGGTGCCCGAATCCGCAGCCGTAGAAGTAGCGGTACCTCCTGCCGTTGTACCGGGCGTAATTGATCTGGGGGAACTCCAGGCCCCCAACTTCCTCAAAGCCCTCAGGGTGGAGATTTTCGTGGGTGCACCAGACCTGGGAGAAATGTGCAGAAATTACTGCAGGGTTGGTTCAGCTTGGACAGGGCTGGCCCCACCAACCACCACACAACCAAAAGTGGTTAAAGCTCTGAGGCACAGGGCAGGAACTGCTGTATAAATGCATTTATGGTTTGATACTCACCTTGCCATCTGCACCTTTCACAGCCTTTGCCTGGGTGTAAGGCAGTGGGTTCAGGTTTTTCCCCACGGGTGTGTCTGAATCCACGTGCAGAGGGAGAACAAAGCGGCGAGGGAAAGCTCTGGGGATGGAGGCATAAACCTGTTACAGAGACAGAAAGTGGTGGTGATGGAGAGAGGACAGACACTTCAGCCTAAATGCACTTTTGGGGAACAGTTCTGCAATTTTAGACACCCCTGAATTCTTCTTCTTCTTTTCCTTATGTGTTTGACCAAGTTCTGGTAAGGTAAAGCACATAATGGAAAGAAGAAGTTCCTTCATGTTCCAGTAATTTACAGCAGAAACTAAACCCACAAGAATTAGAAGGGTCAGCAGTGCTCTCACAGTAATTAATGCTGAGCTGGGTATGCAAACCAGCCCATTATCTCCAAATCCAGCAGTGGGACAGACACTGCATATTGTTTTATTTAGTTAGAACACGCTTCTGTTGCTTTACATCACTCTGCAGAGAAGCTGGAGAGCACTGTGCCTCCAGTGCCTGCAGCTCCCCTGCAGGATTCCCTCTTCCATGCTCAGGTACACGTGGATTCATGGTTGGAAGTCCAGGGGAATGATGTACAGCCCCCAGTGTGGCAGACAGCACACTGAGAGAATAATTCCATCCCTGCCACTAAAGCTCTGCTGAAGCCAAGTTCATAACCCAGCATATTCCCACTTAAATAAAATAGATGAGGACTCTGTTTTGGTGTCTTCCAGTTACCTCAATCCACAACTCACCTCTTCAGTTGTGAACTCCACTTTAACAAAAAGTATTAATCCTGAAACCCTGCTTTCAAAACTTTTCTGGCTCATGTTACCTGGCTGAGGAACTCTGCCAGACAAAGGGTTAGCAAGTCAGCAGATTTGGGGAGAGGAGACAAGCCATGCCCAGACACTCCTGAGGCTTTTGATGCGGTGAAGTTTGAGATTCTGTTCTGAAATGACTCCTCTGTGTGGGCGTGGGTGAAGTGTGCTGCTGATGCCACTTGAAGAACGTGCCTGCTGGAAACACAGGCCCAGTGTTGACACCAGGACACCTTCAGCCACATCAAATTCCAGAGAAGGAATTGTTGTGCTCAAAAAAAACCCCTGGGATTAACACTTCGCTGTACTTGAAGATGCTCAAAAAATGCTTGAAAGAAGGCCAAGTGAAATGCCAGGAGGAAGCAGAACCTAAGGGACACAGCTGTGCCTCTCAGGTCGGAGCTGGGCCAGTTCCAGACAGCTCAGGACACCAAGAGAGGAAGTTCAGCCCTGTCTGGACACGCAGCACCCCCCCAGCACGCTGGTTTCCAACAAACACATCTGCAGGGTGAGAAACTGAAAGCACCACCACTTTTCCCATGTGTGACCTATGCAAAATAATGCCCCTCACATGGCCTGGAACGGGGCTTTTCCCAGAGCTGGACACAATAAATCATTTATTTGAACGTGCTGTTGTGAGGTGTCTGTGGGGAACAGCGCAGGGGTTTCCGTGGTATTTGTGTTTCTGTGATTTTCATAAAAACTGCTCCTTTGCTGAACTAATGTCTTCAAGAAAAGGGTTCTTTTTTTTTTTTTTTTTGTCCATTTAGAAATCATGCTACAACTTATTTTGCATAATTTCTTGGGGGGAAATTGTATCACACCAGGATAAGGAAAACGAATGTCATTAAAGCCAAGGTTTTAAAACAGAAATAAATTCTGCCATGCTATGGAGCTGTGTCACACACAGAGCTT